CCAGAATACTGGGCGGAATTGATAGGTATATAAACAAACTGGGTAAACTATACAAACAAGTAATAATATTAAAAAGTTTTATTAAAATATTTTATAATTGTAAATTGTTATAAATAAAGAACTCTACGAATAATAAATATATATTGATGTTGGAGTTCCTCGCCAAAGCTGTATGGGAATTGCCTTGGAGGTATTACTGTAGGTTTGTTAGGGGGACCTTCATTTCGAATGAAAGTGCATTAAGAAGAGATTCGTAGTCGATCTAAACAGATGAGGACGGATGAAACTCGTTGTACCATAGCCGGTAGATTTTATACGATGTTCACGTTGACGCAGCCCAAGGGACTTCCTACCTCGTTTAGGATGAAAATGTGCTGAGCTTTCGTCCATCATATGATGGACATCATCAAAGCTGGGTGTCATTCTTGTAAAAGGCTTTCGTTAACACTAGGCCAAGAAGACTATCCCGCTTTATCTTACCTCTTTCATAGACTCAGTTACGCCATAAGAAATAATTATATTTCATACTTGTCATACTACTTTTTGCTCGAGTGTATGTGTGTGTGTGTGTGTTAGCGTCTATACGCAATAAAAGTCTTAAATCAAAGTTATCAAAAGGTTAAAATAAGGCTCTGATCAGCAAGGCCTAATGACCTCAATGAAAGCCATGACCGAGACTGCGTGAGTCTGTAAGCAAGTATGATTGAGATAATGAGATATGAGCTTGTAAGCATGATAGTTAAGTTACGAAACCACTTCTCCTAAAATTTCGGTCAAGGGTCATTGACGTTTAACCCTCTTAGGAAAGGCATGACCGGGGTCGCGTAATCTGACTTGTGTGGTTTGTTTGAAGAGCTTACTTTAACATTTTGGGTGAATGTGAGTGAAATTAAAACCATCACTAAGCAGACAAAATAAGTCGCCTTCTTCTTGAGTGCGGCTCAACGCCCTCTCTCTTGTTCAATCTATCAATCAAGCATAAGTAATTCCTATAGAAGTTGTTTGACCTTGTTTTAGCAACTTGGTCATATTGGTAGGAAGACTTATAGGAACGCACCTT